ATTCTTCACATCAAGTTGAAACAAGGGCCAAGAGTATGAGGCAACAAGAGAAAGAAGTATCCAAGCAGAGGTCATCTTTGCAACTGGTGCAAAGGTCTCTAAGTAATCAATGCCATAGGTTTGTGTGTACCCTTTTGCAACAAGTCTTGCCTTGTACCTTTCTATACTTCCATTTGCCTTATATTTTATTATGTAAACCCATCTGCATCTAACTGTTTCCTTGCCTTCTGGTAGATCCACAATATCCCATGTCTGATTCTTAATCAAAGCTGCCATCTCTTCTTGCATAGCTGTATTCCACTCAGGTTTGGAGAGAGCCTCACTAACACCATTGGGTATTGACACCGAGTCAAGAGAGGAAAGAAAAGCATGGTAGGAAGGAGAAAGTCCACTGTAGGATAAGTACTGTAAAATACAATGAGCAGTACACTTTCTCTTCCCTTTTCTGAGAGCAATAGGGAGATCAGGTTATCTGTATCAGGGTTAGTAGAATCAATGGGAGATGAAATAGTAGCGGGGCCAAGAGGAATACCTGAATCCATGTCAGCCGAATCTGGAGTCTCCAAGGAATCAACAGGAAGTGATGTGAGTTCTGCTGTAGTGGAATCAACCTCCTTGTGAATCTGTCATAAGTAATGCTGAGAAGCAGAACACAAAGGAGGTGGCAAGGTAGGTGACACAGGGTGGTGGTCAAGCACAGGAGTAGACATAGGGACTGGAACTGGGAGAGGAATAGACTGCTGACTCACTTCCCCAAAACACTCCCCCTGAGAAGGATTCTTTGAGAAGAAGTACATGGATTCAAAAAAGGTGACATCCATGATAACATATCGGCTCCCAAAGACTGGATCATAGTGGCAATACCCTTTCTGATTCTCTGCATATCCAAGGAAGACACACTTCTTTGCCTTGGGATCAAGCTTCGAGCGGTGAGGACCAAGGATATGTGCGAAGCAGACCCACCCAAACACCCTGAGAGGAATATGAAACATCTACCCTTGAGGAAAAAGGAGACTGAATGGGGTGCTGAATCCAAGTATACGAGAGGGCACCCTGTTAATCAGATATACTGCTGTGAGAACTGCATCACCCCAAAATTGAACTGGAACTGTAGATGTGATCATCATGCTTCTTGCAATCTCAACAATGTGTCTGTTCTTCTTTCTGCAACACCATTCTGCTGTGGACTGTAGGGACAATCGCTCTGAATGACAACACCATATTCTAACAGATATGAGGCAAGGTGTCTTTCAAAATATTCCCTGGCATTGTCGGATCTGAGCTTTATGCTTGTTCCAAATTGTGTTAGCACCATCTGATGAAATTGCCTCACCAAGGATGGTACTTCATCGCGGGATCTTATCAGGTAAATCCAAGAGTATCGTGAGAAATTGTCCACAAATAAGAGAAAATATCGATAGCCTCCCATAGAAGAAACATGGTAAGGGCCCTACACATCCGAATGAATAACAACAAAAGAAGAACATCTTTTATTACTAGGTTTAAATGAATGTCTATAATGCTTTCCAAGTTGACAACTTTCACACTCTAGACTTGACAAACTAACAGACTCAAAAAGTTTTGGAAACAAAAAGCTCAAAGAATAAAAAGGTAAATGGCCCAAACGATTATGCCAAAGCATAATTTGACCCATAGACCCTGACTCACTATCCCTGTTGACATGATGACTCTGATGAGGAGGAAGTACATCCAGGAGGTAGATTCCATTCACTTCAAGACCACTCTCAATCGTCCTCTTTAAGTTCAGATCTTGCAAAATACAATGACCAGGAGAAAAAATTACTGAGCAGTTTAGGTTCTTAATCAAACTACTAACATATAACAAATTAGTGCTCAATCTGGGAACATGAAGGACAGGGGGTAGAGAAATAGAATCACTAATCTTGATAGATCCCTTCCCAGCAATAGAAACATGGGATCTGGGTCATGTGTTCTGAGGCTCCAAAATCTATAATCCAAGGAGGTCCCTCCTTACCTGAAGTAGAAACATAATTTGTAGTGACGTGTGAACTACCTAT